GGCATTATGAATCCCATACCACTATTTCTATGTACAAACTGGATTGCAGTGCTCTTAACTTTATCATCGCCTTCAGTCGTGGGCTGAAACTGCAGGAGTGTTAGTTGATGTACATAATGGTTTTAGTCTTTTCAACATCTACCAATAGGGCGCTAGGTGTACTTATTTGTAAATACAAAGCTGTCGGAAGCATGCAGTGCACTACCTTTCCTAAATTATACGATACGATGGTGTGGTCGGCAATTAGTTATGGGGCCTCCATTTGGGGTCAACGTCATGTATCTGCTAACTGCGGTTCACCATCGTGCATTTGGGTAAATTTGTTTCCGAATATTGCTATTAATAGAGATGTTGGATAGATTCCTCCTATTGTCAGACAATAGGTGTGTATTGTGAGACAGTTTTGTCGATTACAGCATATGCCTACCAGGTTTAACTGGGACATGTAGATCTGGGTATCGGGGATGGGTGGATCAAGGAGTATATGTGAGTTTACATTTAAATTTAGACTTAGTCGTGGAGAATGGGTGGATCAAGGGCATATATGGAACAACATCGGGTATATAGACCCGTGGGTCGGAGATGGGTGGATCAAGGGGTATATGTTGGACAACATTGGACATTTAGACCTGGGCATCGGGGATCAGTGGATCAAGGGGTATATGCAGTACGACATTGGATATTTAGACCTGGGCTCCGGGGATCAAGGGGTATATGCAGGACTACATTGGACATTTAGACCTGGGTGTCGACTATAAGTGGATATATGGGGTAAATGTGGGACACCACAGCGCATGTTGGCCTGGGTGTTGTGGATGGGTGGATCAAGGGGTATATGTGGGAAGACATGAGACATATAGTCCTGGGTGTCGGGTATATGTGAATCAAGGGGTAGATGTGGGAAGACATGAGACATATAGTCCTGGGTGTCGGGTATATGTGAATCAAGGGGTATATGTGGGAAGACATGAGACATATAGTCCTGGGTGTCGGGTATATGTGAATCAAGGGGTATATGTGGGAAGACATGAGACATATAGTCCTGGGTGTCGGGTATATGTGAATCAAGGGGTATATGTGGGAAGACATGAGACATATAGTCCTGGGTGTCGGGTATATATGAATCAAGGGGTATATGTGGGAAGACATGAGACATATAGTCCTGGGTGTCGGGTATATATGAATCAAGGGGTATATGTGGGAAGACATGAGACATATAGTCCTGGGTGTCGGGTATATGTGAATCAAGGGGTATATGTGGGAAGACATGAGACATATAGTCCTGGGTGTCGGGTATATATGAATCAAGGGGTATATGTGGGAAGACATGAGACATATAGTCCTGGGTGTCGGGTATATGTGAATCAAGGGGTATATGTGGGAAGACATGAGACATATAGTCCTGGGTGTCGGGTATATATGAATCAAGGGGTATATGTGGGAAGACATGAGACATATAGTCCTGGGTGTCGGGTATATATGAATCAAGGGGTATATGTGGGAAGACATGAGACATATAGTCCTGGGTGTCGGGTATATATGAATCAAGGGGTATATGTGGGAAGACATGAGACATATAGTCCTGGGTTACGGGTATATATGAATCAAGGGGTATATGTGGGAAGACATGAGACATATAGTCCTGGGTGTCGGGTATATATGAATCAAGGGGTATATGTGGGAAGACATGAGACATATAGTCCTGGGTGTCGGGTATATGTGAATCAAGGGGTATATGTGGGAAGACATGAGACATATAGTCCTGGGTGTCGGGTATATGTGAATCAAGGGGTATATGTGGGAAGACATGAGACATATAGTCCTGGGTGTCGGGTATATGTGAATCAAGGGGTATATGTGGGAAGACATGAGACATATAGTCCTGGGTGTCGGGTATATGTGAATCAAGGGGTATATGTGGGAAGACATGAGACATATAGTCCTGGGTGTCGGGTATATGTGAATCAAGGGGTATATGTGGGAAGACATGAGACATATAGTCCTGGGTGTCGGGTATATATGAATCAAGGGGTATATGTGGGAAGACATGAGACATATAGTCCTGGGTGTCGGGTATATGTGAATCAAGGGGTATATGTGGGAAGACATGAGACATATAGTCCTGGGTGTCGGGTATATGTGAATCAAGGGGTATATGTGGGAAGACATGAGACATATAGTCCTGGGTGTCGGGTATATGTGAATCAAGGGGTATATGTGGGAAGACATGAGACATATAGTCTTGGGTGTCGGGTATATATGAATCAAGGGGTATATGTGGGAAGACATGAGACATATAGTCCTGGGTGTCGGGTATATGTGAATCAAGGGGTATATGTGGGAAGACATGAGACATATAGTCCTGGGTGTCGGGTATATGTGAATCAAGGGATATATGTGGGAAGACATGAGACATATAGTCCTGGGTGTCGGGTATATGTGAATCAAGGGGTATATGTGGGAAGACATGAGACATATAGTCCTGGGTGTCGGGTATATGTGAATCAAGGGGTATATGTGGGAAGACATGAGACATATAGTCCTGGGTGTCGGGTATATGTGAATCAAGGGGTATATGTGGGAAGACATGAGACATATAGTCCTGGGTGTCGGGTATATGTGAATCAAGGGGTATATGTGGGAAGACATGAGACATATAGTCCTGGGTGTCGGGTATATGTGAATCAAGGGGTATATGTGGGAAGACATGAGACATATAGTCCTGGGTGTCGGGTATATGTGAATCAAGGGGTATATGTGGGAAGACATGAGACATATAGTCCTGGGTGTCGGGTATATGTGAATCAAGGGGTATATGTGCGAAGACATGAGACATATAGTCCTGGGTGTCGGGTATATGTGAATCAAGGGGTATATGTGGGAAGACATGAGACATATAGTCCTGGGTGTCGGGTATATATGAATCAAGGGGTATATGTGGGAAGACATGAGACATATAGTCCTGGGTGTCGGGTATATATGAATCAAGGGGTATATGTGGGAAGACATGAGACATATAGTCCTGGGTGTCGGGTATATATGAATCAAGGGGTATATGTGGGAAGACATGAGACATATAGTCCTGGGTGTCGGGTATATGTTAATCAAGGGGTATATGTGGGAAGACATGAGACATATAGTCCTGGGTGTCGGGTATATATGAATCAAGGGGTATATGTGGGAAGACATGAGACATATAGTCCTGGGTGTCGGGTATATGTGAATCAAGGGGTATATGTGGGAAGACATGAGACATATAGTCCTGGGTGTCGGGTATATGTGAATCAAGGGGTATATGTGGGAAGACATGAGACATATAGTCCTGGGTGTCGGGTATATGTGAATCAAGGGGTATATGTGGGAAGACATGAGACATATAGTCTTGGGTGTCGGGTATATATGAATCAAGGGGTATATGTGGGAAGACATGAGACATATAGTCCTGGGTGTCGGGTATATGTGAATCAAGGGGTATATGTGGGAAGACATGAGACATATAGTCCTGGGTGTCGGGTATATGTGAATCAAGGGATATATGTGGGAAGACATGAGACATATAGTCCTGGGTGTCGGGTATATGTGAATCAAGGGGTATATGTGGGAAGACATGAGACATATAGTCCTGGGTGTCGGGTATATGTGAATCAAGGGGTATATGTGGGAAGACATGAGACATATAGTCCTGGGTGTCGGGTATATGTGAATCAAGGGGTATATGTGGGAAGACATGAGACATATAGTCCTGGGTGTCGGGTATATGTGAATCAAGGGGTATATGTGGGAAGACATGAGACATATAGTCCTGGGTGTCGGGTATATGTGAATCAAGGGGTATATGTGGGAAGACATGAGACATATAGTCCTGGGTGTCGGGTATATGTGAATCAAGGGGTATATGTGGGAAGACATGAGACATATAGTCCTGGGTGTCGGGTATATGTGAATCAAGGGGTATATGTGCGAAGACATGAGACATATAGTCCTGGGTGTCGGGTATATGTGAATCAAGGGGTATATGTGGGAAGACATGAGACATATAGTCCTGGGTGTCGGGTATATATGAATCAAGGGGTATATGTGGGAAGACATGAGACATATAGTCCTGGGTGTCGGGTATATATGAATCAAGGGGTATATGTGGGAAGACATGAGACATATAGTCCTGGGTGTCGGGTATATATGAATCAAGGGGTATATGTGGGAAGACATGAGACATATAGTCCTGGGTGTCGGGTATATGTTAATCAAGGGGTATATGTGGGAAGACACGGTTCATATAGACCTGGGTGCTTTGGATGGACAATAAGTAACCTAAGCAGCATTGGACAAATAGGAGTAACTTACATACATGATTAACAATGAAGGGGTTGGAGCTAGATTAATTAACGTAAAAGAAGAAATCTTCGTAATATTACTGCAGCGACATGTACTTAAATAGTGACAGTACCCTCTACACGACACTATTGTTATTACTGAGTTCTTGGTATCAAACAATATTTTGACGGCGTTATCCGCCATGTTTGATGATATGATGTCACATGAAAATAAAGCCACAAAACCCTTTCTATGTCCATCAGAAATCTCTGCAGAAAGCAGAGTCGATTAGACGATTCCGACTATACCATAAGTATTTGTTTGAATCACTATCCAATAGTGATGATACCAGGTGTTCGCGAAACGGTGATCATATCCTGCCCACCGGTGGCACCCGTCAAAACACTTGCAAAGGCAAGTCAAGTGTTCACCTGAAAGAACACTGGAACATATGGGACAAGTCAAAATAGGGAATTGCATCGGACATCATTTTTGTCACCGGTGCGTCACATTTGGAAATGTGCTCCACATGTCTACCATAAAATGTTTTGAAAGCTTTACTGAGGCCTTGAATGTTGTAACATTGATACTGTAAGATCATCTGTTTCACCGAACTGGCATTCTGCAAAACACTTCCTGCGGGTCAAGGTCGATGTTGTGTAACCAGCATCAGTTTTCTTCCGAACTGCGAGCCACACACACGCCTTACACAATGTGGATATCAAACGTAATACTCATCAGTCTTGTGTTGTGTGATGTCAGAGACGTACACGCTGATACCAACTTGACCGCTTTCACTGAACAACTAAATCTGTTTGAAGGAGAGATGCTAGCATGGAGAGGTACGGCTGTTAATATTGAGGCTAAAATGATTAACAAGTTTAACATGTTGGAGTTATCACTGAGAGATGAACAGAATAACACGTTCATTTTTTGCCTCCATAATGCATCTAGTGAAACAAGCAATTGCTGACATCCTGAGAGAAGACGATATTGGGTATATATTCAGGGGACATGTTCGAGATGTAGTTACCAGCCTGAAAGCCAATGTACACAACACGAAGTCAAAACTTCAGGCAGTAACACGACACTTTGAGCAAGTTGAATAGGAACGAGACACTTACAAAGAGAGTGTTGGAAAATTTCATGGCGTGCTGACCGACTACACCCATAGTTTACAGCTGCAGCTGAATGAGACGGTCGCTGAATTGCGTGATGCAAAGATGATGAACACTGCTCTTAAGGAGGTTTTAATGACATTGAATTCAAGTTATGTGAGGGCCGCTGAACAGAGCGTCTCTGCTGAACAATCATACAGGGAGGGCTTGCGGGAAATGCAGCAAAAGGTAATTATTACATATATTCAGAGTTTAAACATTCATCTAATTCAGACCATTCACGATCTGCATTCACGATTCAAAAAGCAAATAAGTCCCGAGGACATGATGATGCTGAATACAAGGTGTGTGATGAGAGAAGATATTAGAAGAGTATGTTTGATAAGCAAGGCACCTTCTATAACGTGTCTTATGAATATTCATGAGCCTCGTGTTATGCTAATAGAAAGAGGACGCAACCACTGAATAGTAAATTATGTATGAATGTGTGTTAGAACCTTGATGAAGGTAAAACAACACATAGTGTTACGACTCCCATATTGTAGCAATAACTTAAGTCAGAAATCTAGAAGCAACTAATTCAGTGTGAAACCTGCAAATAACAAACAAATGTTATACAATTAACAATTGTATTATAAAATTAACTATGTTAACAAATCAGTACAAGGTACTGCAAAGTTATGGCAATGACAGTACACAATAGAGTGGCAGTACAAAAGGGGATGCGAGTACAATTATAATGGCAGTATAAAATACATTATAGCTAAAATGGATAGAATTATCATTAAACCGCCCGCATTTTATCAGAAATCGGCGGGCCACTGTAACTTGATAATGCCCTTATATTGCTTGACAACGGGCCATTATCACGCGCGTTGTTAGGTGACGTCATATGGTAGGGATAGTGACGTCACCTTAACAGTTTACGCCATCTGATTTGTTCCATGACGTTTCCTTATCTGTAAACGTGGGTCAGTGACATTCGTGTTGATTGCAGTAAATGTTTCAAAACCGATATTGTTGTTTCCTTATTTGATAACAAATTCCATCCATTTTAGCTATAATAACGGTAAAGCTATTTTTCAGGGCATTATCATTTGCAGAAGCCCGAGGACTTCCATTAACGGCCCGACGAAGGAGAAATAGCGTTACCCTTATGGTAGCAGTGGTAGTAGCAAAAAACGTCAGTGAAGAAATTTCACCTAGCAGCAACAATGGTCAAGCTTTAGAAATTTGCCTAGAATGGATATCCAGAATGGAAAACATGATCTTCACACAACCGCTTCTGTGAGATGAGAGTGGCATGTTCTTGGAACCTTATATAGTTTAATAGTGAGATGAGGTGAAATAGGGTTAAGGTCGCGTCCGTAGAGTATTGTAAGCGACGTGCATGCACGCGTTTGTATGTGTATGTCTGTGTGCGTGTGTGTGTGTGTCTGTGTGTCTGTATCTGTGTCTGTGTGTCTGTGTCTGTGTGTGGCTGCTTGTACAAGTCCAGACTAATGCTGATTGTATAGTGGTAGTCCACTGAAATACCATGCCGCAGTTTACCATGAACACCCCACTCAGACACAGTATGCTCCGAGCCGTCATGTCCTTGTTTTAGCCTATCAATGCCGAACGCCAGGCAGGGTAACAACAAGTACATATTTTAAAGTCTTTTGGTATGACGCGGCCGGGGATCTGACCTCGGACCTTCCACTCTTCGGGCGGACGTCCACTTGAAATTATTTTGCCTCAGTCCTTGAGTAAAGAGCCTTGACATTTTACAGATTCTGGAGCCTTTGCAGATGGTGATGATTTTTCAAGAGATTATGGTCATGTTATGTTATGTTATGTTATGGTGGGGGGAAAACCTGCCAAATAATGTATACTCTGCAACACAAACACTTCAAGAGTGATTAATATGTAATATAAATAATCAACTGAAATTCTAAAATCAACATGTCTTCCCAAAGCATTGTTCTCTCGAGGTGAAAGTTTAGCTCTTGGGAGGGCTCAGAGGCTTTGTGTGAAGGTGGTCAAGGATCTTTCAATAACAACAAGAACTGACATATGCGTAACGCCCTTTTAGGGTGGTTGCCAGCTGAATCCTACATGACAAAGCAAAAAGCCTTATTCTTTGGTAGACTCTCTTCTCCTAGGTATACAAGTCACACACTTCTAATGGCACGTCTGTTTGCTGTAAAATAACTGCTGTGTTGATGCACCAAGAGGCTTCATCTTCGAAAATAAGGTTGTTTACAGTCTTGCCGTGTGAGGTCGGGCGTTGTCTTGTTGGAAACTGACGTTCGCTTGTTGCATAATGGGAAGGACGTGTGGCCGAAAAATCTCATCCGTGTAACGTTGTTACGTTAAATTCCCCAGACCTTGCACCAAGTCTGTTCTACCATTGTAGGAGATGGCTGCCAACATCACACTACCTCCAACAAATCTATCCACTTCCTGGATGCAGTTTCGTGCATAAAGTTCCCAATGACACCTGAAAACACGACGTCAAACATATGCATTGCGAAGCATAAAATATTGCTCGTCACTGAACCAAACTTGTCTCCATCGCAGTTGTGGCCATACTCTATGACATTGACACCATTGGCGTCACAGCCGACTCTGCAGGTCCGTCAAAATGACACCTCGAACTGGTCGTCTAGCGCGAATATCTTCAGTGCGTAAACGGTTCCTCACTGTCTGGTCCTACGCAATCCTGGTATTGACGCAGTAGTAGACGTGGCCGTTGTGGTTCTTTCACGTGAGTGATGAAGCCGTATGAAACTGTCGTGTGCTTTAGTAGTGATGCGTGGTCGACCGGTCGAGCGAAACGGGCAGTCTTGTAATGGTGCTTTGTGTTAAGTGGAAAAACAATGCTACAGCTGAATTTGATTCTCCTGTTCGCACTCGGCCGATGGCGTTGTTGCGTTGTTCTTCGGTCAGTCGTGACATGTTTTCGCAACTCACTTGCTGTAAGATTGTGCACAATAATTACGGAATCGTAGTAGGGCCACGGTGAAATTCTATTTTGTCTAAGTATCTCCTACGTAGGACTTATTATCTTCTACGTAGGACTTAGTATCTCCTACGTAGGACTAGGATCTAATCAGGTTGTATTAACGGGTTAGTCTGCTTTTCGTTCAGTCATTGTTAACATATTCGGCTGTAGTCGTTCTTTTTCACTACTGTAAGGCCACAGGTCTACAGTTAGATTTCCATGAGGGTGTTCTTTATACATTGACATTGAGTTTTGGGGAACACGCACCTGGCAATTTTGTGCACCTGTTGTACAGATTGGAGAATTGAATAGGGTCAGGGCAATAACTCTTTACCTCTCGTAAACAGATTTTGCAATAGTTGAAAATGAATTACTTTTCTGTGTAAACAGTTGATATATATTGTATTTATTATGTTTAGCTCCGGATATCAGGTCATCAAAAACAACCTTGCTGTTCCGGGTACCGAAAAATGTCCATCGTGTAGAGTGGAAGAATGCCTTTCACAAATATCCCACAAAGAATAATTTTACTAATAGTTCCATAAAGACGTTGCCACTCAGTTAACACCATCAGGTGTTGTTAGGACCTGGTTTGATGTGTGTGTGTATATAAATATATATATATTGCGTGCGTGCGTTCGTGTATGGATGTGAGGTGATGGGGTAGGAAGAGAAGGAGAGGCGTGATGAGTAAGTAGGTGAGGTGAGAGGAGGTGAGGTGAAACGTGGTTTAACGTCGCGTCCAAGATTATTGCACTTATATAGCGATGTGTATGCACGTGTGTGTGGGTGCTGGTACTGGACCGGATTAATGCCGATTTTTATAGGGCTAGCTCACTGAGATACCATGCCGCAGTTTACCATGAAAGCCCTGTTAGAGTCACATCCCAATCTTTGCCGCCTATGGTTAGTTGTTAGAGTCACATCCCAATCTTTGCCGCCTATGGTAAACTGTTAGAGTCGCATCTAACATTCGTCATAAGCATTCTTTGTACTTGTTTTCTCACGTTTGTGTGTTTGTCGATAAGTTGATCCACCAGACTAAACGAAACTTTCATTATTACAGATACAGGAACTTGAGGAACGTGATGCGCTGCATGTTAAAGCCATCCGAGCCTTGAACAGAACCAAACAGAACAGAACAGGTAGGATTTCAAAATCTATTGAAAAGATTGAACACTGTCTAGAGTTAGATGAATAAATGAATATTTGTTTTTATCTGTATTCACAATCTGTCATATATACTCCAGCAATTATTCTAAGGACATTATCGTTATAAAAAAATAACCAGACATAATGAATAAAGAATCAAGAAATAGTTTTAAAATATGAATAAGACATCATATATGTGTATTTCACTTGCAATGTGTTTTTTGCAAATAACTAGGCAGTGGTCACGGTTTGTAACTGCGTTGATCTTGAAACCAAGTCATTTTGTATCTGCAGAAACCTGTTACAATGTATGCAAATCACAGATTGAGACAACTTGAACATATGGGCCACCTCTCGCTGAGTTCTACCAGCTTGAAGCATGCCATTAGGTGTTCATCACGTTGTGAACGACCCATTCCCAATATAATTGCACATACTGCATTCAAGCAAGAGTAGAGAGCTTACGTGTCACTGTGAATAATGAACATTAAAAGTACTAATGGCTCAGAGCCAGAGATTTGACAACCTTTCACTAAAGTGCCAAACTCAGGGGCACAGTAGAATTGCATTGTCCGCGTGCAGTGTTTCGGCTGAGTTAGGTGGGTATCTCTGGCAGTAACTTATCACAGCTGAACTTTCTTCTGAAGGCCGATTATAACATGTATGTATTAAGTTCTCCTATCTTATTTGGAGAATATACACAGAGGGAATACTACACTTTGAATACAACTATGACTATTGAATACAACTTATGGACTGATATAATGCTCCTTGTATGTGAACATGTGGAAACAAACGTCTTCAGTAACCTTATATAACAATGATTTGAAACTGTCTGCACATACAATATATCCCGTGTTATATATCCATTTGTAAATACTGTAATATCCATCATCAGTCCATCTTCATCCTCAGGAGGACATAAAGATGATCTCTCTATCTATAATGCCTGCTGTAACTGCTCAAACAATAACTAAACACTGCATTGTAATAACGAATGCATTTGAGTATGTGGACAGATCTTTTAGATCTTGACATTAGAATTTCGGTGTTTTTGCCAATCCGAGCAGAAATTCATTTAATTTGTTCGTAAAGAAACAGATCCACAAGGTAGGGAAGCACAACTTGATACTGTGAGGATGCCTACGCCTTGCCAAAACTCCCGCTGACGTTAACTGTGTGGAAGTCCTGCATTCCACATATTATTTTCTCAATAAACTTCAGATGTTTTTTTCAACTCGAACAAATTTGCCGGAACCTCTGAAGAAAGAGATGTAACTATATATATGGTCATCACGTTTAGTGACAAATGCCCCATGCATCAAGGAATAAAGTTTTCGTTTAATTTTGTATTGTGAGATAGTGGTTTACAAAGTTGAAAAATTAAAGGTTTTGACAGAATTGAACGAAGCTTTGAATCCCTACAAGATAGGAAAGGGCGTGTCTTCAGGGTTCAGAGTCAAGCCAACAATTGATAGTACGGATGCGTGATTTTGGCAGATAATTTCCTCAGCTAACACACTGGCCTGATGTGTTGACCTTTTGATATGGCGCTTATACCAAATTCTATGATCAAAAAATTAATGAAGTGGTTTTTACATCTTAAAATTAAGTCATATGAGGTTTTGTCGGTGAGACAAACGATATGCTTTTCATGTAGGACTTTGGATGGCAGCTGACAAAGGACAGAATTTCAATTTTGTTGCCTTTTTTTAGTTTGTGCATTCTAACACTGGCAAAATCACGCCCTGATGTAACCCTAAATACTATTTACAAGTATATTAAGTTATTAAATAAATATATATATGCAAACGTCTGCTTTAATGCTGCAATGTACGTGTATTCTTTGACACAGAAAAACCTTTAACATAACTGAATTTGATAAACTGAGGGGCAAACGAAAGTATAGAGTTTGTTTTTCATGAAATTGAAAATTGTTATTAATTTTGATTATGTCTATTTAACCATCAATCATTTCTGCAACAGCTTGTCATTGTAATTGCGTGCAGCCATTACCGCATGACCCTTACCGTGTTTGAATGTTGTAAATATATGCTGAACATCGAAATTGATTAATTATTGATTTATAGATAATATGCCTTTGATTCCTATCTGCAGTTGTTTATTTTACGGTTTTGTTTTAATTTTTAAAAGTTTTAAATCAAATTATATTTGTAAAATGCAACGCTGTAACAGTATTCTTCGAGTGCTGACAAAGCTTCAGTACGGTTCATTCTTCAGATATAACACCGCTGGTGACATATTGAGATATTTTCAATTGAAAATATAACATATGATAAAATCAACTGAGAGGTATAGTGTCCTGTGCTTCTCAGTTTCAATATGTTATACATTATCATCAAATATTGCAAACAATTCATTTCAAACATGTTGAAATATCTGCACATCAAGTGGTTTGGGCAATACGATTATCAGGAAACATACGTTATGCAAGAAAACAAATCAGAATGAATGTATCATCCCAGTCATATCCCACGGTACATTGTACACAAATATAATGGAGTATACGAAGCGGTGGTTGATATTGAATGCAATGTACCAAGCGGTCATGGTATCAATCGTTGGTAAAGCAAAACCTATTTTGTTTCAGATGCGAGAGGTAAACAACCTGCATATCAGATTGCATTTTCAACTGGTCTGACGCATATAACAGAGACACGGGGGTTTTCATTTGTCCGCAGAATGGGATCTACAGCTTCCAAGTCCATGCTCTATCTCAGCAAGGTAAACTAGCATGGCTGGAACTAACTCATAACAACCACCTTATGGTGAGTGTTTGGGGCCGTTCCGGTGGTAGTGAATATGACGCTGCTGGGAACTCTGCTATCCTCCAACTGGCCAAGGGGGACCAGGTGTGGGTAAGATCAGGAAGAAGCGCACATTTGTTCGGAAGACCTACAGAGGTTTATGTGACATTTTCAGGCTACCTCATTGCGCCATCGTTCTCGGATCAGCAGTGAATGTTGTGCGATACGAATGCAGGACATATGGGTGCAATGAAATAGCATTACACCATCCCTTGCATTTACTTGTTGTTTATGTAAATGATCGGTTAAAAGATGGTACTTGTTGTTACCCTTCCTGGATAATTTATGCTAATAGCACAACAAAGCCAGGGCTAAAAGTAATATTTATATTCATGTAATAATTTAGTTAATCTGTTAGCGATGTACAACGAAGTTATGTAACTCTCTTGTACTTTCATAGGTCTGAGCACAATGCATTTGTAACACAGCTTCAGCAAATATGTCTACATTACGAGCAATGCCTACAATGTACATATATCCATGTATTACACCATTCAGTAACGTGAATGGACATATTGTTAATGGGCCCGTTACAAGTACAAGTGGATGCTAGCTGATATAGTTTGTATGCTTCGGTAGTTTCGATATATTTTAGATATGGTCTTCTGGTCCAGGGCTCTCAAAATAAGCGCCAAAAATGAATGATATATGCTTAGAAGTTACAGCCAACGCATGTTGTTATTTATACTGAAATCTGCGTACATTAGATAACGACATTGGGTTCAACGAGGTTTATACGTAATTAAGATATATGTCATGGCAGTGTCATTTTACAAGGCGTATCCATAATTAGGATAAACTTAAGTGTCGCATAAGATTATGTAAGTTTTGTTCATAGGTATCTTCAGACTTACTGTAATGTTGTAATATGTTGTCTTATCACGTGGTTCATGATACAGTTATATATCATGAAACTTACACTCAGTATACATAAGTATTGTTTAATACCTCAATCTATTGTGATAACTGTTTCTTTTATGGAAGCTATAAATGTACTATATGACTTTGTTCTTTATATGTAAACCTAAGTGAGATTTCCTATTTAAATGGTAATTAATGACTGTCAAGATATCCCCAATAAAGGAGCTGGCCATAGACACTTTGTTTGGTTTCTCTGAAGGTGGTACCCGATCCCCAGCTGATTCTCCGAGGCTACTTATAGATATTATGACGTGTTGAATAGTACATAGTACTGTGAATATTTACATAATTCTACTCTCGTTACCGTTAGAATGAGGGTTGGGGATAGCAGGACCGGTTCTCGTGTGAGGAAGCGATCTAGGTCTTCGTTTTGACCAGCCCTCGCTTTAAAGCTGAATACTAGTATTGAAACCACGACTGTTTATCAGTGGGATACGTATTGAGCCGTGGTTTCAAAACCGCACTGAAAACAACATTCATTTTCCGTCACAGATGACACCAAGAAATACACATCGACATAAATGCAATATTCTTATCTTAACACATATGGACCCTTAAACTTTTTTCATGTTTAAGATTACAATTCTGCCTTGTTTGCATATATCAGAAAAAATAACAAATATTTACGTAGCACGATTAAAAACATTTTACAGGAAGAAACGACGGTATTTGGCTGACACAATGCCGAGATGCGACGTTACATTTTGATTCACTCACATACACATGAAGAAATACATTACGTCTATCAACACAATGCAAAACCCACAATCAAAAATTACTCGTATGCTGAATTCAGCATGTGTGTATGTTTCCGATTTCTCAGAAACAATCAGCCAGGTATAGTTCACAAAACAAAGCATTTTGTAGTTATGTTGTGCCTTGTTTCTAAGGGACCGATCTTGTGATATTCAGAAGGGGTTGGGGTGGGGATTTTATCGAAAAATATAAATAGGCTTCAGACTGTTGAAAAAAAAGAAAGTACCTGCTACCAAAGATTACATTGTCGCAAGGTGTATGTTTTTAATCAGACTCAACGTTTTAAATGAAAAAGAATATCTGGTAATTATGCCTGGGTAATTATATTTTTGTGTAAAAATATATTGGTTCAATGAAGACTGGGATTGGTTATGAATTTGCAGCTGCATGACCCTTATCATGTTTGAAATGTTTTGTGCCAAAAAATCCAAATTTGTTGATTCTCAAAGATAAAATGTCTAAGACACTTATCAGCAGTTGTTTATTATACTATTTTGTTCAATATTTAAATGTTTTAACTCAAATTATATATTAAAAAATACAAACATGTAGAAGTATTCTTCGAGTGCTGAATAAGCGTTAAGGTACTTTCGGAAATGCTAGAAAAATGCCTTTTGCCTGTTTAAAAAGGATATGATTTTTCACAGACTGTTGTTATTGAAACATCGAGTAACTTTCGATGCATCAACCAAGTCAGCGAGCCTGACCACCCGATCCCGTTAGTCGCATTTTACGACAAGCATAGTCGCCTTTTACGGTAAGCATGGGTTGCTTAAGACCTATTCTACCCCAGATCTTCACGGGTCCAGAGGTGTGTTGATTCGTAGTGTCAAAGCACATCAAGTGGTTTGGGGGATATTATTGTGAATGTATCATCCCCGTCATATCACGGTACATTGTACACAATTATAATCGAGTCGTCAATGTCATGGTATGATTCGGCAGTAAAGTGAAACATAGTTTGTTTCCCGTGGCCAAGTCCTTCGGAAAAACAACGTCTTCCTTAACGTTGGCAACGCACATAACAGAGACACAGGGGTTTTCATTTGTCCGCAGAATCGGATCTACAGCTTCCAAGTACATGCTCTATCTCAGCAAGGTGAACAAGCATGGCTGGAACTTACTCAAAACAACCACCTTATGGTGAGTGTTTGGGGCCGTTCCGGTGGTAGTGAATATGGCGCTGCTGGGAACTCTGCTACCCTCCAACTGGCCAAGGGGGACCAGGTGTGGGTACGAGCTGGAGGAAGTGCACGTTTGTACGGAAGATCTGACTAGGTTCATTTGACATTTTCAGGCCATCGCTTATCGCGCCATCGTTCTCAGTTCAATAGTGAACGTTCTCAGATACGATTGCAGTTACGTGGTGTAACACCATCCTTCGGATCTACTTGCTGTTTATGCAAATGATCGACTATTTAAAAGCTGCTCTCAAAATGCTTTCATTTATATTTGGAGAACGTTTGTCAGTAGGCCTTGATCAGTTCACTCTTGTGATCATAAACAGAGGTTATAATGCTGGAGTATTAGAAACATCCTGATTTGTTCATGAGTCCCGTTTATGGTAAATCATTTTAGTGTCCATGATCAGTCATGGGAAAAAACAGCCAGATTTCCTTGGGTTTTTCTCTTTACAAACATCCAACGGGCTACAAATAAGCATTTTTTGTAAGATCTGACACATCTCGTATCCAGATGCTCGCTTTATTCAACTTTACTAATTAAACAAACAATGTACCACTTAATAAAACAACCTCCTGTTCTCAGATGATCTACAAACGTCATTAAGGTACTCACTCATAAAATACCTAGGCAATGTTTTCATACATAGTGAGTTATTCCATTATTCACTCCACCACGTCAGACACTGTTATTCCACTGGAGAGTTGTGACATTCAACAATGCTCATACTGTGCTATGAACATCTATAAGATAGCTACGCGGTAAATCGCAAGAACATTGAAGAGCGAGACGCGTTATATTTCACGATAAAACATTGTTTTATCATGACTACATTAATGGAGATTAGAGCTTACATCTACGTCGGAAATTGGACAACGCTATTTTTAGAGGATAGTGAGTTGTTCACCTCAGATGTAATGAGTGAGTGAGTATGGTTTTACGCCGCTTTTAGCAATATTCCAGCAATATCACGGCGGGGGACACCAGAAATGGGCTTCACACATTGTACCCATGTCGGGAATCGAACCCGGGTCTTCGGCGTGACGAGCTCATCAGATGCAACTGGGCAACGCAGATAATCGCAACCGCTGAACGATCGCATCCAAATGTCGGCGAGATATGGCATTGTATACAATGGATGAAAGGTACAGATGATGGCAATCAATTGTTTTGATGTTTGTTAGAATATTAAAAAAATACCAACTCATAAAATGGACTTTCCGAAATTGACGAGATCGGATGGTTTTCATTGTTTAAATACTGGTAAATATGTTTACGGATAAATATCCTTAAAGAGGCTGTGAATAATGACATCTCATTTAAGAAATAAACGACTCGTGCTCGTTGTTTATCCGACAATAAAACTCTGAAGAGAGAATTAACCACCCGTGCGCCCATCGTGGTTAATTCTTCCTGCAGTGTTTTATTGTACGATAAACAACTCCCCATCGTCTTAAACATAGTTACTAAGGCCCCCTGCCAACACCTGAATATTAAACTTATCATAACATTAGACTACTTGTTAAAAAGTCAAAAGTATTATGTCAGGAAAGCTCTGGACTCTGAGCGGTAATTGAGGATCATTCCATTCAAAATATTTTATATTAATTTTGCCATAATTATTCTAATTTTCGCAATATATATTTCAAAATACGTTCACCAAACATACGACTTTTAAAAATCAGGATCATAAAGCAGATGAGGCTTCGTTGTCAGGTTATCTCGTGCACCGCACGTGTGTATTGTGTAGTACAGTGTGACAGCAATACATTGTATCTGTGCTGATATTATGGGTTTGTCATATACACGTGGACTATAGGTGTGATTTACACATGTGCAGTGTGAAACGTGACTAAGGCTATCTCCTGTTATATAAACACGTGAAGCCAAAGCGTGCTATGTTTTTGTATTGATATGTACCATCTGCTCCATCAGTTAAAGTCGGCTGACAAACGATTTATTATATTTATTTTCAAAGGCTATGATGTCATCATAATATTGGATTCAAAGATTGCTCCTGTTCTTTTATATGGCTCAAATATTTGTGGATGTGCCCAC